AGTGGCGTTAGAGCAACGCAGGACGGTCAATTCTGAATGGTACACGACCATTTGTTTGCCAGAAGTCATCGGAGAAATTCGAAAAAAGCAGAAGAACAGGCGAATCATTCTTCATCACGACAATGAGAGCTCTCACACATCGACTCAAACAAAGGCATTTCTGACGGAGCGAAAGATCGAACTGATGGGTCATCCGCCGAACAGCCCTGATTTGGCGCCCAATGACTTTTTCTTATTCCCACGCATCAAAAATAAATTACGTGGACAATGATTTTCGACCCCCGAAGAAGCGGTTGATGCATTCAAAACGCATGTTTTGGAGTTACCTCAATCGGACTGGAAAAAGTGCTTTGAAAATTGGTTCAAACGCATGCAAAAGTGTATTGATCATCATGGAGAATATTTTAAAAAACAATAAAACCAATTTCGATCCTACATATTTGTTTTTTCATTATTAGGCCAGAAATATAAATAGCAACCCTCGTAACCTCGAGACAATATCAAAGAAGTAGCATTTGAAATTTCTGATGTGAAGTGAAGGAAAAATTACTTAAAACGAAACACATGAGCGAAAGCTAAACAAAATAGAGGAAAAAACTAGTAGTGGAAGCATTTCCGAACCTGCAAATTTTCACTCTTCCCGAGTACGGATTATCCGAGTATTAGTAAAACAATCACAGAAAAAAATTTTAATCTGAGTTGAAATTTGCTTTCGTAAATATACTTTTATATATTTCGCATATTATACTTTTATATATTTGTTAATTAATTATTACTGAGCAGATGCCAACTTGCTCCGAACAGCAAATATATATTTTAAAGTGGTAGTTTATCAATTGTGATTATTGGTTTAACAAATTCAATTTAGTAGATTTTTGTCCACCACTATTTCTAAATAATTCGCAGGCTTATATAATTCACCACTTTAAGATTCTTGTCATGAAATCAAGTAAAAAGAAAGTCATTTATCCATACATTACTCTTTTCAATGATGCAATACCACTAGTTCGAAAGGACACCTACCTAGGCGTCACTCTTACTAGTACTTTTAACTGGAATACCCATAATGAAAATATTCTCAGCAAAGCGCAAGGAGCCTATAGATCTCTGAAACCAATATTAAACTATAATTCAAGACTATCACTCAAAACAAAACGAACGCTATACCCCCAATGCATTCGACCGATCATCAGCTACGCAGCCCCAGCATGGAGCACAACCACTGTTAGTCAAAAAAAGAAACTGGAGATCACTCAAAATAAATTCCTCAGATATATCACAGGAGCCCCCAGATCCATGAGAATGAAAGATCTAAGACGAGAGTTAAAAATCAACAAAATAGATGAGCACATAGCTGAACTATGTGCAAGTTTCTTCAGAGATGCACTCTCTTGTCATGCGTGCAATTACTTTAAAAATTTCGATTTTGAGCTCATCAAAGACAACATAAAATATATAGCCCGGCAACCGCCTTCTTCCTATCCGACGGAGTTTTGTCCCGTAAATTTTGTAAATAGCTGTAAATACTTGTAAATAATTTTGCGCATTTATTATGTATTTCTCCTTTTCTCTGAGGCTATGTGGCTACTCTGGGCACCTGAGAAGCTCGGGGGTAATACCTCGAAGGGAGGTGAGGCAGTCTGCCACAAAACCTCTTCTCTCTCTTATACTTGTTTGTTCAATCTCACTACTTCATTTTAATTTTCTCTCAGTAAAAGATACTGAACCCCAACTTTCACCTTTCAGTTGCGCTTCAGCGATTTATTATTTATTTCCACTCAGATGAATTAGTTAGAGCCCCTAGCGGGGCTGATGCTAAGATAACCATCACATATGAGTATGAGTATGAGATTCTTGTCATGCCATACCTTTTAAAAAGCAAGCAAAAATAGTCAAATCTATGCAAAATTTACTTTGTAATTATTTACCGTTTTTTTTAATTATTTTGGCGTGTCCGGAGCAGTTGGCATGTCAGTAATTGTCATAATTGTTTATATGTAGTGGTAGTCAAACTCATTTATAATTATTATAATAATTCAAAAAGTATAATAGAATCTCTACCATTTTTAGTATGAAAATAAAATCCTCCAGCAAAACCGGAAAGGTCAGCGGCTACGTAATTCAGTAATAGTTGGTTTTCAGAAGGAATAAATCTATTTTTTCTCCCAACTGTATAACAATATCTTCTTTTCTCGAGGTAGAACGGTAGAAATTACATAAATCTCGGTGCGCTGCAGCGAAGCGGCATTAACTGATCCGTCGGTAGTAATTAAATCGATGATGAGGAAGGGAGATGGACGAATGAGGGGGGTGCTCAGCACCAAAAATGCGAGGGAGAGTCGTGTGACAGGGACAATCATAAAATGTAATAGGACATGAGATATTATAATAAGTAAATATAAGCATAAACAAGATAAAATAATCATGGATAGTATGATGAACGATAATATTAAAGAAGGTCTGGGTTAAATATAATATACATATTTACAAAGCACAAATTACAACGCAAATCGAATTAAAATAAAATAGATATGTACAGTGAGGGAATAATCAATGAAAGAAATTTAAGTCATAAGCTCTGTTACACTGGTGACCCAGGCGTCCCGGTTGATAACCACTCGTCTTCTGGGTTGCTCACCACACTAGTTTTAATCATAATACTTGTTCCTTGGAGAAGACCCCTCGGGGTTGCTCGCTCTCCTCGGCCCATGTATAATTTTATGTGATACTGTGTGTGTAAAGTGTAAAGTTGAAAAATATCATATGTTGTGCTTGGGCAACCCCATATTCTAAAGGAAAAAGGCAGTAATCGGGCTAAATTTAGTATTGTCATCAATTAATTATATATCTAGGACTGAGTTGAAATTGCTGATGGTACTACAAGTTTTTGCATCATCGTAAAAAATTTTATTTAAATTTTTTATTTAGACGATGATGTTATTAATTTTTAGGTCCTTTTTTTACTATTATTGCTAATGCATTTAGGGGAGCCGACAAGTCTTCTGATGATCTACCCTACCGTCATAGAGAGTTTACTTTTTGAACTATTATTTAGAGTGGTAATGGTAAGGGGGTTAGAATTGGCCTGATGGCCATTAAATAGATTGTGCTCTTGCATTTTATGTCCAAAAATGACTTCGAGTTTAATATGGAGTTAAAGGCCCAGTATGCACTGCTCGCTGTTTTAATAATGTTATTAATATGCTGTTTCCAATTTAAATTAGAGGTTATAGTAACACCTAGATATTTAGCGTTCTTTGTGGGCTAGATGACCTGATTGTAGAGGACAATATCTGGTATAGTTCTACATTTCTTATTGCTATTGATGATAATCATTTGGCATTTATCCGGGTGTAGTTTAATCTTTCATTGTGAGCACTATTATAGATCTTCTTTTGCATATGGATAAAGGCTTGTAAATGGCTGATAGATTTCGTGATGATTGCTGTATCGTCAGCATACAATGCTGTGATTTAATTAGGATTATTGTTATTTATGGGAAAGTCAGCTGCGTATAAATTGCATAGTAGTAGCCCGAGGATACTACCTTGGGGCACACCGGCTTTAATGTTTTTATAAGCTGAGAATGAACTATCGATTTTAATTCTGAACTTCCTATTGGTAATGAAAGAGTTAATTAGGGTAATGAGATCTACTGAAATATTCATTGTGTAGTTTTACGATGAGACCCTTAAGGGAAGTGTGTAATTTTAATCTCTTTCAATAAAATTTTGAATTTCATTAATTTCAACTTTTTGGATTTTTAGCCTCCCGTGGTAATCCTGCATTTAGAGAAAGTACATAAATTATAGAAGAAATAAAATTGCATTCAAGATATTAATGAAAAAAATTATTTATAAACCAAAAATGAACAAAATATATTGGGGAAAAAATTATGTGATATTTATAAGTTTAGACACATAAAAAATAAATATAGGTAAGAGAACTTACCAACTGTAGCCAAACATTGGACGTCATAATCTGATTTTTTTCATTCTGTAATAAAAATATTCATAGTTTAAAAAAAAATTAAATACTACATTGTTTTAATTCTAAAGTATAAAAATATAGAAAGAAAAAATAGAGACTGAAATTCTTTAAAAACAAACAAATAAATAAATATAAATTTTATTTACTAATAAATTTAAGCTTATTTAAAACAACAACAACAAAATTTATCTATAACATGGAGACAATACATACAGGGTTGGTTGTTATTGTTAAAGTTACCCTGTTTGAATAAACAAAGAGTCGGTTCCCGTTAATGGGTAATAATGGAACGATATAAATCTTATTAAGACCAAAGGGGAAAAAATTTGAAATTAAAAATTATTTCCTGAACAGATCGGCGTGCATAACGATGTTTTTCGAAGCTCTGTCACCAAGGAAAATGAAAAGTCATAGTTTAAGAGCCTTATACTTGAAGCAAAGCGATGATATTAAACTATTTATATCATCTTGCCGTGAAGAATTATCTGGGTTTTTGAACAGATAATTAACTTAAATATTTTAAAAGTTGTTAAACTTTTTTTTTAAATCACCAATTTGGCGACATTTTTCCACCTAGATGAAAATTGTCAAAACCACTGCCTTATTCTCAGTTTTTACAAATTTTTATGAGCTAAGGTAATGGAGTAAGTTTTTAAATATTAAAAAAATCGACCACAAATGCTTTTCATTTTCATAAAACTGTGGCTTTTCTCCATATTGACATTTTGTGCCATTTTCAAACTGAGCTTAGACAGCGCTGTCTTTAGATAGGCTAAACTTGACCTAACAGTTATGAGTAACAGTTGCAAGCTCACAGCTGTGATGAAACATATTATTCTACTCAAAAAAGCATAATTTCATATAACAACGGAGGTTTCGAAAAGCATCCATGAGAAAAAAACCCGATTTGGAACCTCGAAACTTGATTGAATCACAGCATTTGCTCAATGCACAGATAACTTTAAAAAAAAAAAAAAAAAGGATTACCCTTATAACGTTTGAATGGTTGTTTGGATTTTCGGAAAGTACTTTGATAATATTATAAAGAAGTCTCTCAAAATCTGTATAACTGTAACCGTGACGGATATGCTTATTTTGACCAAAAACTCACTTTTTCTTAAGAAACATATTTTTTTTCAGCAATTTCGGATTCATGACACTCCAAAGATAAAGTTTTGAAAAACTGGCTTTCACATTTTAACCGCTATTATGGTAGAAAAATTTGTTACTTTAATGTTATTTTAACGTGCCACGTTTCTCTCCTTATTTCTTCTTTAAGTCTTTCACAAAATGTTATAAGCCTTTAGTCTCAAGATGGGGAATTTAAATGAATTAAATAATTTTTATTAATTAATTTGCAAATTATGAAAAACGTTTTTAATTGTAAAGTAAAAAATATATATATATATATGTATTTTTTTTACACCTAAATCTGAATTTTCATGTCCTTTGAGCATTAAAAAGGTGAGTAAAAACTGATTTAATGAACTGATTTAATTTGGACATTTTGGTGGAACTAACCCGCATTTGCGTTACAAGGTGAAAAAATCCACGAACTCCCACGGTTAGCTTGATGACAAAGGTACTTTAACCCATGATCCGTCTACCGCTAAGGATATATTACGTCAGCACTGGGTTAAATAAAATCCATCGAGCCAGTAGAACCTGAAAAGACTGCAGTCAAAAATGAGAAAGCAGAGCCCGAGCAGACTGAGCCTTCACCAGAGGAGACAACTGCTATTTCCACAGAACACCATGAAATTCCCGAGTCAATAAAAGAGACTCCAGCCCTGGAGAAAGAACCACAGAATGAGGACGAAACCGAGCCTCTAAAAAAGAAGAGAAAAAGGAAGAAGAAAAGACTTCCTTCACAAACCAGAGAAAGTATGGACATCTACTAGCAACAACATCGAGCCGGTAGTCACACCTGCTGTCCCAACAACAGATGAGACCACAGATACCATACAGAAAGAGAATTTACAAGTCTGCAGAAGAAAACTACTAGTCAAAGGACTCTCCGATGATCAGAAGATCTCGATCTTGGAGAAAGAAATCACAGATATTGATCATCGGCCATTCGGAACGGTAAGGAAGAGACGTGACGATGGGTATAAGCTCCTCTCCCTTTTTCTGATCATTCTCCCATGAACAGAGAATTCTTCAAAGTAAAGAAAATACTATCAACATCAGTACAGATCGAGCGATTTCGAGAAGGTCGTTACGAAATCCAGTGTTTCAAATGACAAAGCTTTGGGCATACCCAAAAGATTTGCACTGGCGAACCTGCATGCATGAAGTGTGTTGGTGCACACTATTCGGTACAAATTCGGCACACTATTCGGTATCTAGGTACAAAACCTAGAAGCCTTCCAGCTCTTGTACCAACTGCAGCGGAGAGTACCCAGCCTGTTTCACGGACTGTGGTGCTAGACCAAAGAGAAAAGCTACTGAGAAGAAAAGGCAGTACAGCGATTTCTGCAAATCTTCAGAGAGAGGCAGGAACTAATAAAAAACGAGGAGTTAGTGAAACTACTCCGATCTCTACTGCCAGAAAAAAAATCTTAGATGCTAATTCATCACCTCTATCAAGCCTGAAACGCATCTCAAGTCAACATCTTTTACCATTTCTACAGCCATTGCTACAGTTGCCCACAGGCATCATCTGAGATGAAGGAGTGAGGTGTCCGCTTCGAGAACAGGGACTCCGAAATCAACTTCAGTCTAAGTAAAATGAAAATACGCTTACGAAATATATTTTCGCAGATGTCACAGATCGTAACTCAACAATTTTTTTTTTTTTGACGGATCGAAAATGCTTGACAACGTTGGTGTTGGTGTGTATTCAGAACTTTTTGCGTTCTATGCCACCTTTGGTCCATTGCGGACCAATTTTGATGGAGAACTGGAGGCAATTAGAATTGCAACAGAACAAATCAGGGTTAGATCAGTTCAGATTGACAACATAGTTATTTTTTCAGACTCTCTATCAGACATCCAGGCTATTGCTGCACATAATGTTGCAGAGTCAAATATTATTGACTCCTGCGGAAGAAATATTAATCTCCTAGCTTCTGAGGGAAGGACTGTTGTTCTGCAATGGATTCCATCTCATATAGGAATAAATGGTAACGAATGGGCTGAAACATTAGCAAAGAAGGGAAAAGAGATTTTTCAGGCAGGTAATGCCAAAGTACCATTTTCATCAATTAAAAGAATTATAAAAAATATTGTGAAGAAAAGCTATGATGCTAATTTAGTAGAAGAAATCAAGAATAAGAAATAGAGGTATTCAATTAATTAAATTCCAAACTCCCCTAGATCCACTGCAGTGGCGGCGTTCCGTCTGGAGACTGGACATGACTGCCTTGCTAAACATCTATACAGAATTGGTATACTTGACAGTCCTATGTGCACTTTGTGCAACCAGAACTTTGAGATGGACAAAGATCATTTGCTCAGTTGCTCTTCATTAAATGAAGAAGATTTATTCAGTCGATATTGGCGAGCTAGGGAGTTGATGAAATTGGTATCCAGCGACTGATTCTCGTTCTTGTTTAAGTGGTTCACGTTTTGTTCCCGAGATTGTTGATTTATTGTTCTTGTTATTATATTGTTCTTGTATTGTTCAATGGTTCAGTTTTTGTTTTATATGCTCCAATCTCATGCATCTTCGATGCATGGTGGCCAATGATGTAAAGTCAAGTGCTTTTGCAATAAAAAAAATTTTAAAAAACAATTTAACATTTTTATCGACTGCTGTATTGAACTCATTACAGTTCTTGTATTGGCAGACCATTTGCTCAACTTTGTTTCCATTCATTTCCTCAACTGCAGTAATGATTTTGATGAAACTCTTGTATTGGTGGACCATTTCATCAACTGCCGTGAGTGCCGTCTGCTCTAGAATGTTGGCTAGCCATAAAATGCCAACATTGAAGTGTGAATATCTGTGTTATGTTTTCTATCTGTCACCAAAACTCGTAGTACTTCGCGTTATTCTGATTAGGACGAAAAAGTATTTAGCGAGACCTTACTTTATAATAAACGTTCCCGTGCGAGCTAGTTTATCTATTCCATGCATTTTTGGCTTCTTTCATAAATTTGAATAACGGCGCTGCCATCGGTACAGTATTTCTTGTGCTATTCCACTTGTCCACTCTTTATTTCGGCAACCTTTATATCTTCAAAAATTATTAATATCACGTATCGTAGAAACCTTCAACAATAAGAAAAAAAACTCATTTTTTAAGCTGCACATTTATCAAGAGAGTTTTTTCACATCATAGGACAACTAAATTGTGAATTATTGTTACTACTCCAGAAAAAATATTGTTGTTATAAAATGTGAACGTGAGGCAAACACAGAATTGATGATGAAGATAGAACCAAGTATTATTATCAACGACCTACTTCTAAAAAGTCGTTTTCTTCATTTTAAGATCTTTTGTTCTTCAAGAATTCCAGATATCCTGAAAATTTTATGGGGGAAAAAAACAGGAAAGAACAATTCACGGATGAATAGTCTTAATGGACCCAGTTGAACATCCCATAATCGTCTGATGGACTAAATTTAGTCGATTGTTCGAAATCTTTTTTTTTTCCTCTAGAAAATATCAAACTTATAGGTTTGAAAAATTCAGCAAATGGTCTTACATTTAATGTTTCAAATTATAAATAAAAGTATTATAATACAGAGAATTCATCGTCCAATTTTTAACATCATGTATTCTCAAGTCATGATAAATAGAAAAAGGGACTTTGCGTCGTCCCAAATTTCAATAAAACGCCTGACCTGTTTTTTGGTAAATACACCAAATTAAATTTATACGATTGATTAAAATTTCCTTTATCCTGTCATTTTCTGCATGCTTGTGCAATGTTATTCGCATATATGGCAGTACTTTTACTTTCGTTACTTGTACCGCCGGTACAAGTAAAACGTACGTACTTTTACTTGTACTTCGTTACTTTTTAAATTTAGTACTTTTACTTGTACTTTCGTTACT